TATATATATATATATATATACAATAAATAAATACATATAAATATGCTTATTAGTTATATAAATAAGTTTATCCTTATCTAAGGAAAAAGAGGAGAAAATAAATAAATATATAAATAAATAAATGTATATATAAATATATAATAAATAAAAGTATATATAAATATATATAATTTATACAAATAAATAGATAATAAACTAATTAAATATACATAAAAAAAAAAAGGGACTAAAAGGAGACAAGAAAGGGAGACACTTATGTGTCTCTTAACCTTATGCACTACTGTCTCCTTATCCATGTATATTCAGGTGTATAGGCACCTCCCTGCATGCATGCATGCATTCATAGAGGTGCCTATACACTTGAGGGGGGCCCCCAAGGGTACCTAAATACCCCCATTCTTGCATACTACCCTAGTAGGAAGAAAAGAGAGGGGGGCCCCATAATTAAAGAGGGCCCCCCCTGTGTAGGGGGGCCCCCCTGAGGATACAGCCCGATATACCTTATGACGTTTTTGCTTCTGTGCCCTTTTTAATTCCTCTATATGCTGCTGCATAAGAGTACGTCTCCTGGGGCCCCCCTGGGCCCCTGGGGCCCCCTGTAACCCTTTTTTTGGGCCCCCATGAGTATTAATAGGTACCTTAGATGCATAAGGGGGCCCCCTTGTACCCTTTATATAAGGATATTTTCTTATAAATATACCTAGTGTACCCTCTGCTGCTTCTTTTCTAAGTGTCTCCTCGTCACTAACATCATCATATACTGTATAAGAATAAGTGTCTCCTTTTTTGTCTCCTTTCTTGTCTCCTTCTGTATAAGAGACAGTAACAGGCAGTACCTGCTCTACTATCTCCCCTATCTCCTCCCCTGTCTCCTCATTGTCTCCTTTCTTCTCTCCTTTGTTGCTGTTGTCTCCTTTGCTGCTGCTGTCTACTTTGCTGCTGCTGCTGTCTCCTTTTGTCTCCTCTCCTCCTGTCTCCTCTTCCCCTAACACAAAGGCCCCCCATTCCTCACGACTCCATCCCCTACTAAGTGTCTCCCATCTAGAGGGGCCCCCTTCCTTACTGTCTCCTTTAGACCCTGGAGGGCCCCCCGGGGGCCCCTGCTGGCCCGGAGGGGCCCCCACCGGCGTCCCGGGACCTTGGGGGCCCTCAATAGAGACAGTTGGCCTACGAGGAGACACTTTGGTGTCTCCTCCCCTCTTTTGTCCCCTTTTCCTTGCCCTTCTCCCTAATAGAACAGCAATAGCACCTAAGACAGTAAGGGGGGCCCCTCCTTTTTCTTTTTTCTCCTTTATACCCTTAGTGGCAACCTCTTTACCTGTCTCTGGGGGGGCCCCAGTAACCGGGGGCCCCTCCTTACTCGGAGGAGACACAGGGGCAGCAACTTTTAAAGGGCCCTTGGTGGGGGGCCCACCACCCTTAGTAGCAGCGCTGGGGGGCCCCCCAATCTGCTGCTTAGGGGTTTCCATCCCCGGGGGCCCTCCAGCAGCACCTGTTGCAGCAGACACGGGGTAGAAGGGGGCCTTTGTTAAGGAGGCAGCAGCGGCAGATGATGTGGGGGGCCCCTGTCCAACAACAACTACTTTACAGGAAGCTAGTTGGGCACTGGGGGGCCCCTTAGGGGGCCCCTTCCCTAAGACAACCTTCGCGCCAGCAGACAGCTTCTTACCAATAAACTCCGTTAGGGGGGCCCCCATAGGGGGCCCCTCTACCTTTTTGCTAACTGGGGGGCCCCCTGCAGGTGGGCCCCCCTTAGTAGATACTTTTCCCTCAACAGCAGAAGAGGAGACACCTGGGGGCCCCCCTGAGGCAGCAGCAGGGGACGCAGGAGGTCCCCCTGGTCCCTTGACAGGAACCTTCTTTGGCTGCTGCTGCTGCTGCTGTTCCTGTTCTTGCTGCTGCTGCTGCTGTACAGCAGAGCCTGAAGGGGCCCTCTTTGGAGCCGGAGACTTCGGCAGGAGGCCTCCTTTCACTGTACCTTCTTGTGCAGGGGCCCCTAGGGTAGGAGGGGCCCCCTTTGGAGCCGGAGACTTCGGCAGGAGGCCTCCCTTCACTGTACTTTGTTGTGCAGGGGCCCCTAGGGTAGGAGGGTCCCCTAAAGTTGGAGGGGCCCCGGCAGCATCCTTAGACGGGGGCCCTGCAGCCTTCTTAGAGGGGGTCCCTTCAGCATCCTTAGAGGGGCCCCCAGAAGCAAGGGGAGGGGGTGGAGGCTTCGGCTTTAATAAGGGGCCCTTTGGGGGAGTTGCTGAAGGGGGCCCCCCTTTAGCAGCAGCTGCTGAGGGTGCCCCCCCAGCATCATTAGACACCTTCGGGGCCCCTTGGGTACCTGGGGGAACCTCCTTGGGGGGTTTAGGGGGGGGCCCCTTCTGTTTCAAAGGTTTTGAAGGGGGGCCCCCCACAGAGGGGGTATCTCCCTTGCTTTTAGCTTCATCGCCTGCACCTCCCTCGGGGCCCCCCCCACCTGTCCCCCCTAGTGTCTCCTTTGCTTCCTTCACATTGGGGGGGCCCCCTGCAGCCTCCTTTGTCTTCATTGTCCCCTTTGGGGGCCCCCCTGGGGGCCCCTTAGAACCTACTTTGGGTGGCGCCCCAGGTACACTCTTAGAAAATCCCTTGGGGGGCCCCTTTGGGGGCCCCTTAGAGGTAGTTTCTGCCTCTCCTTTGGGGGGCCCCTCAGGAGACTCCTGAGGTGGCAGTCCTTTAGCAGACACTTTCTCTGGGGGCCCCTTGGGAGACACTTTACCTGGGGGCCCCTTGGGAGACACTTTACCGGGGGGCCCCTTAGATGGAGACAGGAGCCCCTTTGGCGGCGGCGGCTTCGGTTTGAGGGGCCTCTTAGAGCCCTCCTTGGAGGCCTCCTTGGAGCCCTCGTTGGAGCCCTCCTTGGAGCCCTCCTTGGGGGCCCCCTTGGGGGGCCCCTTTGGGGGCCCCTTGGGTTTCACCTTGGGGGGGAGCCCCTTAGGGGCCACTTTTGAGGGGGTCCCCTCCTCCTGAGGCCCCTCTACTGGGGGTTCTTTGGGTACATCTGAAAGGGGGCCCCCCTCAAGAGACCCTTTTTTGAGGGGCCCCTTATCTTGTCCCTTCGAGGGGGGCCCCTCAGGGGGGCCCCCCTTCTTTGCTTCCTTGTCTCTTCTTTTGTGGGTCTTTAATAACTGTCTCCCTAATGCAGCATAATCAGTTAACATCTGTCTCCTTCTTGCAGCAAATGTCTCCGCTATAGGGTCCTCCTCGCTGCTGCTGCTGCTGCTGCTGCTGCTGCTGCTGCTGTTGCTGCCGTTGCTGCCGTTGCTGTCGCTCCAACTACCGCTGCTGCTCTGCCGGCTGTCCTTGCTACGCGGGTTACTGCTGCTAGCGTTGCTGCTGCGGCTAGTCACTCTGCTGCTGCTGTTGCTGCTGCTGCTGTTGATCCAGCTGTTGCTGCTGCTGCGCCGGCTTCTTGCGCTCCCATTTTTGCTGCTACGTCTGCTGTTGCTGCTGCTCCTGCTGACGCTCCTGCTGAAGTTGCTGCTGCTGCTGCTGCTGTTGCTGTTGCTGCTGCGGCGGTGCTGGAAGGCCTTAGCTACAGGAGACTGTCTCCTTGAGTTATAACGAGCAAGGGACTGTCTCCTTCTTACATTGTTAGGTGTCTCCTTTTGCTGCCCCGTGCTGCTGCCTAATAAGGGAAGGGGGGCCCCCAACTGCTGCACCTGCAAGAACCTCCTTGGGGGCCCCCCTAAGCAGCAACATGCATGCATACTCGAGACACAGTCAAGAGGGGCCTCCAGGGGCACCCTATGAGACCTAAAGGAGCTGCTGCTGCTGCTCCTGCTGCTGCTGCTGCTCCTCCCCCTGCTGTTGCTGCTCCTGCCCCTGCTGCTGCAGCGAGGGAGACAGCGAGGTCGCCTAAAGCAGCGTGCTGCTGCTGCTGCTGCTGTTCCCGGTGCTGCTGCTGCTGATGTTGCTGTTGCAGTTGCTTCTGCCGCTGCCGTTGCTGCTGGCGATGCTGTTATTGCTGTTGTTCCCGTTGCTGCTGCTGCTGCCCTTGCTGCTGCTGCTGCTGATCCGTACTCGGAGGAGCAGCAGGCTGTTGACAGCGCAGCGGCACGAACACGAAAGATCACCATTTGCAGCCGGCGGGCCACAAACCCTAAACCCTAAACCCTAAACCCTAAACCCTAAACCCTGATTCACCGTAAACCCTAAATAATTAGATCATGATAATAAAAAATAAAATAAAGGAATAACTAGTGGTTAGATCTAGGGTTTAGGGTTTGCAGGGGTACGATCGATGGTGTATAAGACTCAAACCCTCAGAAGCCCGTCCGCCCTAGGGTTTAGGGTTTAGGGTTTAGGGCTTATATGTGTATCTTTATAGCTCCAAACCCTCGAAAGAAATATACGAAAGAAGAGAGAGAACTAAAAGAAACATGAGGGTTTAGGGTTTAGGGTTTAGGGTTTGCGCATCGCGAGTCAAATATCGCCCACCACAAACCATTGGTCACCCGGGTCCAAACCCTAAACCCTAAACCCTAAACCCTAAATATTTATTTTATACATTTACATTTATCCCTTTTCTTTTGACCTTTTCCTTCTTAAGAGAAAAAAGGGCCGCTCCTTTTATAGGGGCCTCTCGGTGTCCCTCACTGCATGCACACCAAACCCTAAACCCTAAACCCTAGACAGTAAACCCTAAACCCTAAACCCTAAACCCTAATCAGACAAAATTCTTACACAACAATTAGAGGGAATCTTAAGACAAATATATTCTTCTATTTGTTGCGTCTGCTGCAGCAACAACTGTATTAACCCTAAACCCTCTACGGAACTCGCAGCAGCAATAGCAGCAGCAGCAGGACAGCAGCAGTAGCTGCAGCAGCTGCTGCTGCTGCAGCGCAGCAGCTACGACAAGCAGGAGCTTATCTAGCCATACAGCAGCAAGGAGACAAACACTAAAAAGAGACAACAGAGGGAGACAGCAGCAGACACCTAAACCCTAAACCCTAAACCCTAATTATGCAGCTAATCGACGAACAAAATTAAAAAAAGCCCCAAGTATGCATGCAGATGCATGCGCATGCATCTGAGGTGTACAGACACCGCAGACGAGTACTCGAGCGCCTGATTAGCCACAGCTAGCTATGGCTAGCTGCGGATAGCTGCAGACACCTAGCTAGCTAGCTAGCTGCAGCTAGCTGTGGCTAGCTGTAGCTAGCTAAGCATAATGCGGAGAGAGCGTAGACACTAACAAAGGAGCATATTTGCTGCCCGCATGCAACAACAACAGCAGCAGCAGCAGGTGCTGCAGCAGCAGCTGTTTTTGCTTCTGCTGCTGCAGCAGCAGCAGATGCAGATGCAACGGCAGGGTTGCTGCTAAAGGATTTTCGGGCTTTTGCCTCGAGTGTATGCACAGGCTACAATGCATGCATGCATGCATTGTAGCTCCTGTTGCTGCTGCTGCTGCTGCTGCTGCTGCTGTTGTTGCTGCTGCTGTTGTTGCTGCTGCTGGTATCCTTTGCAGATGGATGCATTATAGTGCTGCTGCATTACTAAGAGGGAAGAGAAGAGACAATTGTCTCTTCTTTTGTTTATATTTTGCTCTTGCCTGTATAAAAAAAACACAAACCCTAAACCCTAAACCCTAAACCCTAAACCCTAAACCCTAGGGAGCAATAGAGAGGGAGAGAGAGAGACAGCTATACATAGAAGAAATAAAAAAGAGATAAAAGAAGAAGGAAGAGACACAAGGGACAAAGAGAGGGACAGACAGCTACAGCAGTAAAAGGAGACAGGTACAGCAGCAAATGGAGACAGCAGCAGCAGCAGCAGCAACAGCAACAGCAGCAGCAGCAGGAGACAGCAGCAGCAATTACCTTTGTTGCATCATATGCACAAGGCAAAGACAATTTAAATGTCTCCTTAGAAGCAGCAAAACGTCCCTCTATTGTCAGCATATTGCTGCTGCTGCTGCTGCTGCTGCTGTTGCTGTTGCTGCTGCTGCTGCTGCTGCTGCTGTCAGGAGCAGCAGTAACCTCAAGTGTCTCTGGATCTACTGGAGCAGCAAAAGTAATTCTTAGCTCTGGTTGTCCCTCAGGAGACACATGGAAGCTCATATCATAGTTTGCTGCTGCTGCTGCTGCTGTTGCTGCTGCTGCTCCTGTTGCTGCTGCTGCTGTTGATGGTGTTGCTGCTGCTGCTGCACTCTGCTGCCGATGCTCATGCAGCAACTTGGAGAAGCAACGCTGCAGCAGAGGATTTTCTGCTGGCAGCAGCCCTGCCCCATCTTCCTCCTGCTGCTGCTGCTGCTTCTGCTGCTGCTGCTGCTGCTGCTGCTGCTGCTGCAGAGGACCATCAACCCGCCACTGGGACATTGCCTTCGTTGCCTGTGATGAACCTGCTGCAGCAGCTGAGCTGCTGCTGGTGCTGCTGCTGCTGTTGCTGCTTGCTGCTGCTGCTGTTGGGTTGTTAAAACGACGTGTCGTCCTGAC